TGGACACAGTTTACTTGGCTACCTCTGCCTTCAGGTCTTTTATGAGATGGGGGCTGTGATCTCAACTGAAGCTGGACAAGGAAAGCATCAGTCTTTAAGCTCACTCATGTTAAAATTGGCAGGATTTAGTGTGGACAGAGAGCCTGACTTTTCTTCTGTCTACTGGCCTGAGCTCTCCCTCAGTTCTTGGTCATGTGGGTCTGTACATAGAGCATCTCACAGCATTGGAGCTTGCTTCCTCTGTTTGAGAAATACAATAGAGAGACAGAATTAGACAAACAGGTTCACACAGAGACAGAGAAAAATTGAGGGAGCAAATAGAAAAAAACCCAGTAGGAGAAAAATGACAGCTTATAAACAAATCTTGTTCAGGTTCGATGGGTCACATGTGTAATTACAGAACATTGATAGGCTGAGACATGTGGATCATCTGAGGTCAGAGGTTCGAAACCAGCCTGGCCAACATGATGAAACCCCACTTCTACTAAAAATACAAAATTAGCTAGGAGTGGTGGCACATGCCTGTAATCCCAGCTACTTGGGAGACTGAGGCAGGAAAATCGCTTGAACCTGGGAGGCGGAGGCTGCAGTGAGACGAGATCACGCCACTGCACTCCAGCCTGGACAACAAGAACAAAACTCCATCTCAAAAAAAAAAAATCTTGAAAGTTTCAATAATCCTCCTTCAATATTTGTGTTAAAATTTTTACACCAGTGAAATACTATAAGGGAGTAGAAGTTAATTAAGTCCTCAGAGTGGGGCCCTCATAATGGCGATTACTAATCTTATACAAAAAAACACAGAAGTCTCTTTTCCTCCTTTTGCCAAATGAGGATAAAACCTGAAGTGTGCAGTCTGAAATTCAGAAGAGAGTCATCACCAGAGCTTAACCATACCGACACCCTGATCTCAAATATCCAACCTCCAGAAGTGTGAGAAATTAAGTCCTGTTGTCTATAAGCTGCCTAGTTTATGGTTCCTTGGTATAGCAGTTCTGAACAAATACATAAGTGATACCCTATTCTGTATTCCACTGGACAGAAGCTGAATATGTGTCCCTAAACTGTTAAAAAATGACTTAAAAATTGGGTTATCAGAATGAAAGATAAGAAACAGCTTGTTGAAGCATTAAAATTTTCTCTGCTTATGAGATTGTTAAAAATTGGCTGAAATTGGTTGGAACCAATATGGTTAACTGAAGTTCATGGAGAATGAGTTTGCTGATGTTAGAGCCCAAATTTCCGTTTCATGTTTCCTACTTCCTCTTGCTGGATTTGCATGTGACCTGTGAGGAAGCAGGAACAGATGACTGTGCATGTCTCATTACTTTCCATATTCCTACTTTCCTTCCAGCAATCCTCTACTAATCCAGAATCCACCTCACCTCTTTTGCCTTTTTAAATCACTGCCTTAAAGCCAGTTGAAGAAAACACATTTGAGCTGGACTCCTATGTCCTTGCTGGCCAACCTACAAGATAATACTTTTCTCAAAAACCAAGTGCCATGTTACTGACATCAGGCAGTGGGCCATGATGTTAAGTAACACATTGAATCACTAACACATAGTTCTAGGAGACTTTGTGAAGATTTCCCCTAACATAGATGAGATAAGGCACATGGATATGATTCTAAATATAATGCAAAAGCACTAGAAAGTTGAATGCCTATATTAGTTCATTCTCATACTGCAATGATGAAGTACCTGAGACTGGGTAATTTATAAAGAAAAGAGGTTTCATTGACTCATAGTTCCACATGGTTTTACGGGGGCTCAGAATACTTCCAATCATGGTGATTGAAAAAAGAAGTGAGTGAAAGCAAGGGATATGCCAGCTTCTTATAAAACCATCAGACCACATGAGAACTCACTCACTATTACAGGAACAGCATGAGGGAAAACCGTCCCCATAACCCAGTCACCTCTCCTCAGACCCTTAACACGGGGGCATTATAATACAAATATCGTTTGAGAGGGGACACACAGCTAAACCATATCAATGCCAGAGGACAATATCTACATTTAATTTCAACCTCTTCCTGGAGCAGAATGAAAATGAAGCCTAGTGGAGAAGTGATTTCCCAAGATCACACTTCCAGGCCCCGGGTCTGTTTGAGTTGTGGTCCATGCTACCTCACACCTATTCTCCTCATGCTTCCATCTCTAAGCGTGTACATTATCTGCAGGTGACACCACACCATGATTTTTATGTTTTATCTTACGTACACCTGATAAATTCTCTCGGAAATAGATGCTAGCATCATCCCCACTGTGCATGCTGGAAGGTTGGGGAAACCCAAAATACACGGTGACTTTCATTGAGTCATAGAGATGGTAAGAAACACAAAGTTTTGTCCCAGCTGTCTCTTCTATCCTGGAACCCAGGCTGCATTTAGATCTTTCCAGGAAATTAAGGGGAATTTGTGTTTTCATAATTGTGTACAAATAAAGAGTTGACATGGGGAGGAGACTGAGCAATCAGTAGCATAGTGGGGTCTTTGGGTAGGTCTTATAGAAGGAAGGGACCCATTGGATGGAACCTTGAAGAGTTTAACATACTTTCTTGGTGACAGAATCCAACAGAACTTAAGAAACCAGGAACCCACATTATTAAGATGATTTTGTATTTACCTCCATTGTTGAGAGACCTCAAGAGGGCAAGATTTCTTTCATTGTGCTCTGACATCTTTTAGTTCCAGCCGTACAAAGGCTCAATGTTAAAGCCTTATCTGATAATGCAGATGTTAACTCTGCCCCCATCTCTGATGAGGCAGTGGGCACCTACAGATGACACAGGGCAGCCCAGGACAGGCCTGTCCATGCCAGGTTTCTCTTATCATCTCATCTGGGCAGCCTTATGCCACTTCTTAGTACCATGAGTTGCAGGAGGGACAAGAGGGAGGGCAGGTTGTCAGAAGTTGAAACTCTTGTGTGCCTGCCATGTTCATACTCAGGTCATAGCTGACAGAAAAATAGAAGACGATTGAGAACCGAGTCTGTGTACTCAGATGTGAATTCCAAGACCTTAACCTGTCCTCTGGTTTTCTTCCTTGCTGGAGATTTATACAGATGCTCCTTATGTGCCCAGTCTGAAGAGCAGATGTTTTTTTGAGATGGAGTCTTGCTCTGTCACCCAGGGTGGAGTACAGATAAAAGCAGAATTTCTAATGGAGGTGTCAACTATGCTGAAAACAAGGAAGGCCACGGATTTTTCTTTGCGTGGCTTCTAGGCACTTTTTGCAGAGTTTCATTCACAACAATGAGGAGATGTTTGATGGGACAAACTCCTTCCTCTCTTTGGAAAAAGAGCAGGTGCACTGCACCAGCAACCACAGTCAGCACCAGGCTGTGGTGAGAACAGCCACATAGGAGTCTCTGCAGACAGAAACTCAAGAAGACCAGGACAGACCCAGGACCCAGACTCAAGTATGAAAACTCCCTGGGCTCTGTCCTAAGTCCTTGCCATGAGTGACCCATAGTCCTGTTCCAGTGGAATCTGGCTTTATTAGTCTTAGTGGCAACTTGGTTAGGTGGAAAGTCTCTGTTCACACACTTGTGTGAATAACAGAGTAAAGGCTTTTGTGTTGTTTTCACTTTACATTAGGCCATATTTATGCATGTGACTGCAGTCTGTATTAACTTCCCGCCCCAGGTACCTCCTGCAGCATGCAGCTTCCTTCCTACCAGATGCTCAAAACTTAAAAGCTAACACTATACTAGGAAAATTTTTGCATAAAATGGAGAAAGTAACACACACAAAAAAGATTAAACTACTCTATGCATGTTCCTGCAATGCGTCATCTCAACAACTCATCCTTGTAGCCCATTAGGGCAGGAGCTGGACCCTCACCTTTTCATAATGCATAAGGGAGGTTCTTCCCCAGTGTTTAGCTTTATGATGCTGATGCATCCTGACATAAGGACATCCTACTTTCATTTCCATCATACTGCAGGAAATATCTGTGAGTGTCCTAATAAGATGGAATTATTTGCTAGGGCAACCCTATTCTTCCTGCACACTTTTCTGTTCTCTTATAATTAGCTTTATTCTAAGCAAATCCATGTCTATTTTATTTATGTATTTATTTACTTATTTTTAGTATGGAAAAACATATATATATATATATATATATATATATATATATATTCTATTTATTTAGAGACAGGGTCTCCTTCTCTCACCCAACCACAGTGGTAGAGTGGTGGAATCATGGCTCATTTCAGTCTCAAGATCTTAGGCTCAAATAATCCCCTCGCCTCAGCTTCCTGTGCCACCATGCCTGGCTAGCTGATTTTAACTTTTTTATAGAGAAGGAGCCTTGTTATGCTGCCCAGAGTGGTCTCAAACTCCTGGGCCCAAGCGATTCCCAAAGCACTGGGATTAAACGCATAAGCCACTGTGGTGAGCTGTGCCTACTTTAAAAGATTGAAAATAAAAAATCAATAACTCTTTGCCAAATTAAAAAAACAACAACAAAAAACCCAATAGTTTCCAGGTCTTAGATAAAGACAATTCTGTGTCATAAAGAATAACAAAAGACTTATTTAGCTCTTCAAATGATTGACATATATTTAAAAGCAGCAGAGATAAAAGGCACATATAAAAGTTTTCCAGGCCATGCATGGTGGCTCATACCTGTAATTCCAGCATTTGGGTAGGCCAAGACAGGATGATCTCTTGAAGCCAAATGTTTGAGTCCAGTACAAGCAACATGGTGAGACCCTGTCACTACAAAAACTAAAAATAAAGTTGGCCAGGCAAGGTGGCACATGTCTTTAATCTTAGCACTTTGGGAAGCTGAAGAGGGTAGATAACGAGGTGAGAAGTTCAAGACCACCCTGGTCAACATGGTGAAATCCTGTCTCTACTAAAAAATAAAAATAAAAAAAAATAATAAATTTACCAGGTGAGATGGTGTGCGCCTGTAATCTCAGCTACTCAGGAGGCTAGGCAGGAGAATTGCTTGAACCTGGTAGGTGGAGATTGCAGTGAACCAAGATCATGCCACTGCACTCTAGCCTGGGCCACAGAGCAAGACTCTGTCTCAAATAAACAAATAAATAAAGTTAGCCAGGCACAGTGGTGAATGCCTATAGTTACAGGTAATTGAGAGTCTGAGGCAGGAGGACTGCTCAAGCCCAAGAGTTTAAGGTTACAGTGAGCTATGATTATGCCACTGTGCTTCAGACTAAGCAAAAGAGTGAGACTCTGTCTTATAAGAGACTACAGCCTCTCATTTGTAATTTGTGTTTGCTTCTGCAAAAACCAAGTCTAGACTCATGGTCTTGAACTATGGGACATCTGAATTCCAGTAAGTGTTAGATTCAGGCAACTGAGGGGTAGCCTTGTGCACACTGTGTGCATGTGAAAAAAGGGTTCATGGGGAACTAAAAGGCAAAACAGGGGAAAGTGCCATTAAGAACCCACAAGTGGCAGACAGTACAGGGCTGGTGGAAAGACTGGTTCATGCTACAGATACTGACCCAGGTGTGGCTTTGCTCTTATTTCTGTGTCCATGCAGGAAAATGAGATTATAATCAGGTGACACAGAAGCCTGGGTTGATTAAAAAAACAAAACAAAACAGGTTGCCGCTGCAGATTCAGTGTCTGAGGTAGAGCATATGCCAGGAGTCTTGTAGGCACCTGTGTGGGTTTTTGGTGGGAAAGTCTAGGAGGAAAGATACTGTGAGCAAAAATCTTGATGGTGAAGCCTTGTCCTGGGAGGGGCTTGACCACATCAACATTCACTGGGTACATTCAGAGGGAGTGAAAGCCATGTGGTGGATGCAGGTTGGCAGGAGGGCAGAGGGCATCTGTTTTCAGAACTTCTTCCCTCAAAGTCTTCAGTCCTTCTCACTCTGGGAGGACACCTGGATCATAGGGCAATGCATGATGTAGCAGCCTGTGTGCAGAGCAGAGCCTACCTTCCCTGAGACACTTGGAATCTCTCTCCAGCCCAGGCCCCAGCAATGTCTTTCTTCTTATAACACTTTTGACACCAAATGTGTAAAGTTTCCTTAAAATCAACTGATTCTCCAACACCCACTTGTTGCCCAAAAATTCAATGCTGACACAACTTGGAGTTTGCAGGGACCTCACAAATTCAGGGCTCATATCACCGCTCTCCCTACAGAGGTGAGTCACATGTCCCAGAAGCCTATCTATACTTTTGAGCTATTACCTGTAAATCTGAGACTCCTATAAACTTCTCTTCAGGTTAAATAATTTTATAGGACTATTTTAAAAAACCTCAACAAATAACTCTAATTGTATTTACCAGTTTATTATAAAAATACAGCTCACAAACAGACAAATGGAAGAGATGTCTAGAGCAAGGAACAATTGTGGGGGATGGTAGTCCTGGAAACAGCTGTAATTAAAGAAATTCCCACATCCCTTTTGTTCTCCAAGAGCAGCTTAATGAAGAGAAAGTGCATCTCATTATGACTTAGAGGGTGCTCCCCACTCCTTTCTTTTTTTTTTACCTATCACAAACATGGACACTTTTAACAATAAACAACCAGGTCAGTAATTTAGTCTTCAGTGGTCAAAACAGAGTACTTCTTAACAATACTTTGCTTGTTTCTCCTCTACCCACCAGCCCCTGAGCTGTGACCCACCCACAGCCTGAGCCAGCCTACAACCCCTATTTATACATACCTCTCCTGAGAACAGGCTGACTTCAAGGTGAAACATTCTCTTGTCTGGGATCTGATTTTGCTACCCTCCATCCTGTGCTTCCTTTTCAACTTTTTTTTGGAAACTTGTTTCCTCCTCCCTATGAAATAAAGCTCTTTTCCACCTAATGTTTGAGATCCTCAAAGACCTTATCATTTGTACTTTTTGTTGTTGTTGTAATACTTCTTAAGTAACTTCTTCTGTAAGTCCTAATTAGTTTTATTTGACAAAGTCTAGAAACAGTCTCAGAACAGTAACAATTTTATTCTAGAAAGAACCTCCCAGCATTTATTCTATCTCAACCCCAACTGCATCTGCCTACGAGTTTCCAGATTACCAAGGCTCTATATCTTCCCGAAGTGATAAAGGCTCCTTCCATGGTTGGCGTGAGCAGGCTGGGTGGGACACCTGCAGGGCAGACCTTCAGGGAGAATTAACTGAGCCTTCAATGACCCACTTTGGCAGGCTGAAGATTGGCCTGAGCTTTTAGTCAATGGTCTAAGACTTCTACTTCCCAGTTAGGGTCGTTCACTGAATTTTCGATTTAAAAAATTCTTCATGTTTAAAGAATCTAGCAAAAATTATTCAAATCTAAGATTTAAAAGAAAGAAAATTACAAAGGGCTTACATTTTATACCACAAGAGGAAACATCAAAGTATTCCTTTTGAAAATAAACATATAATGTAATTATTTCTATAACAAATCATTTAGTAAACAATTATATGTGAACACTTCCAGGAGGTGCCAAGTCTCAGCTCCTAAAACTTAGCAGTACCCTCAAACATCCGGATAGCAGCATACATAGCAGAGATAGTCACTTTCACAAGTTCTCTATTTTGAAAAAAAGAACAACTGATATTGTGATAAATTTATATAATTTGACAATTACTCTACTGCATGTGCTTGTGGATATGTATTCATTTTCTACCACCATAGTGGAAAGAGGCTCTCTCTATCTTTACGCCTGGTGGCATTTTCAACACTAAGCTCTTAGATTCTGCTTGAAATCACCTCTCAACAAACAAAACAAACCTGGAAAACTTACTGCACTCATTCTGCTAAAGAAATAGGTAAGTAAGAATTTTTAACAAATAGAATATATTACTACTTACTTTTTTTCAAAATTCATCAACTTAATGTACTTTGTAAATATTATCTTACTTTTCAAGCTCTACTGATAAAATGTAATTTACAGTTAATTAAAAACTGAAGTTAAGTACAAAATTTGTTTTAAGGTGACAAAATTAGGAGGTGACAATGCTGATTGAAACACAGGCATATCTGACTCAACTGTCAAGTCAAGACATTCTATCACTTGGAACATTTTCCCTGCTCCCATTTGGCTTGGTGAAGTGGGTAATGTCCGTTTAACCAAGAGCCACTCTGCTGTTCTCCGCTGTGTCGCTGAGTTGCATTTTGCTTTGCAGCTTTTTGCACTCTCTCATGGAATTGCATTTTTCTTGTCCTTTGAAATATTTTCGGCTGGGCGCTGTGGCTCACACCTGTAATCCTAGCATTTTGGGAGACTGAGGTGGGTGGATCACCTGAGGTCAGGAGTTCAAGACCAGCCTGGCCATGATGGTGAAACCCCACCTTAAAAAAAAATAAATTAAAAAAATAAATTTTTTAAAAAAAGAAATATTTTATCTCCCTTCACCAATCTAAGAAAATGTTTTCCTCAATACCAGCATTCAATTGCCTGGCTAGCAATGTGTCTCTAAGGAACGGAAAATAAGAGTTAGGGTAAGAAAATCTTAATGTCCTAATGGGTTTGCTTTTAGAGGAAGGGTATACCTGAAGATTGCTTCCAGGCAAAATGCATTGAACCGATCCACAAAGAGGCTGCATTCCTATACCTTGGGCTGTTTCCTGAGAGGAGATGGCCGAAGGGATGAAATTTAGCAGGCACTTCAGGAGGAATGACCACCGTTGGCATCTTGGGAAATCCTCAGTTTTAAAACTCAAAACCAGGAAAATAACACAGGATAGCTGAGGATGTATTGCCCTGTGAACTTTCCAAAGTAAAACCTCAATCCAAAGACATTCTGAGGAGGTGTCTGTGCCAACTGAAGATTAAAGGAAGACACACGAAGGTTTTCTGTTTTGTTTTATTCTTTTTCTTTCTTTTGTTTTTTAACAGTGGAATGTCAGGGGATCATTCTTTGCTTTCATCTCCTGTAAAATGTTCACAAATAAAAATATCTTTTTTTAAAAGTGCCATCCACTGCTCTTTGAAATAATGATGAATTAAAATACTGTGTCTGAAATGTATGATAAAGAACAGTTGATCATGTTATCAATGACAAAGGGATAGTTGATGTTGGTGCATATCAGGAAAGAACTGGAAATTTAAAATCTGACTGCAAGCCAGAGTTTGGCTGGGGTAACAGGTGGTAGATTTGAGGCACTGCTTGCCACGCATTTGGAAAATGCAGGAGAAAACTAGTTATCTTTTGGAGTGTTACAATAACTAAAAAATAGGCAATTGAATTGAAGTGGCTCTAGTGTCCTGAGCTCTGCTGGAGTGACAGATGAAGGACCCCCCAGATCCAAAAAGCTACCCCCTCTTCTCCTGTTGTGCACCTGATTAGATAGTTCTCACTCCAGCACCCATGATTAGATATAGTTCAGTGCCCTGCCTCGCCCCCTCAGGCCATGAGTGACAGATGTGATTTGACACTGGGTTGAATAAAGCAAGAATTATAGGTTTTTCCTGGATTATCTTCTGGCAGGGCTTGCTCTGCGCACTGGAAACTGTCCCTGCCTGTAAAAGATTTGCATTTACATTTGCATGTAAGGTTATCTTTATTTATGAATTCTACATATGTGTTATTCATAAATACAAGCAGTATGATGACAGTTATTTTCCAGTTTCAAATTTTATTACTTTCTTGGCAACCTGCATTTAGAGCAGGCAGCCTGAGATTTCAAAAGGGAGACAATTCTCTAAGAAATAATATGGGAGGCACGTATGAATTTTAAATTTTCTACTACCTACATTTTAATAAAGACACCAGGCATGGTGGCCTGTGCCTGTAGTTTGAGCTATTGGGGAGGCTGAGGTGAGAGGATTGCTTAAGGCCAGGAGTTTGGGACCAGCCCTGGCAACATAGTGAGACCAATTTCTACAAAAAAAAATTTTTTTTTTAATTAGCCAGGCCTGGTGGTGCATGCCTTCAGTCCTCAGGCTACTCAGAAGGCTGCAGCTGGAGGAGCACTTGAGCATGGGAGGTCAAGGCTGCAGTGAGCCATGATCACACCACGCACTCCAGCCTGGCTGACAGAGCAAAACCCCAACTCAGAAAACTGATCTCTGGAGAAGGCATTTTCTTTTTCTGCAATATAGCCAAACAGCTAAGTATGTCTTAAAGTCATCTTTTTAATTTTTAACAGGGCAAGAATGTTTTATAAAACCCCAATCTCCAAGGTTGCGATAGGGCAAATCCTGAAGCATACATGGAAATCCCTGACAGCTAAAGCACCCCTCACCCCATCCAGTGCTTCTTACCCCTGGTGCATGAGAATCACTTTCGGGAAGGGAAACTTTCAAAATCCCTTAAGCCCAAGTTGTGACAGAGCAATTAGATCAAAATCCTTGGAGTTAGATCCAAAAAAACAAGATGGTTTAAAGTTTTCCAGGTGATTATAATGTGTAACCAAGCCACAAAACCATGGTTTTAACCAGCAGCTTTTGTTATAAATTATTTCTCAAATGAATGTAAAAACGTTTGCTGCTGAATTGTGACTTTACAGTCTTACCTGCATTTCCTACTAAATATTCTTTGCAGACCCAACCTCTGCTACTCGTTCTGTTTCTGATTCACCCAGTTTCGTGTGTGCTCAGTGCATCCTGTGCACAGGTGCTGTGTGTGTGTCCTGGCCTGGGGAGCATCATTCTCAGGGGAGAACCTTGCTGAAAACAAAGCTGCATTCCAAAGAGTTAAAACCATGTTATTTACTGGAATGAGGTAAAAATTAAAAGACCTAGCTGGCTCACCCAAAGGTTAAAACATAAATAAATAACTTGGAACATTAATATACACCTGATGATGTCCTGAGCAAATATGTTCCACTTTAAAATAAAACATTACTATTATTCTAAAATATTAATTTAGGATTATTATGCACTTATGTACTATTTAAATTTTTATTGATATATAACATGTATACAGAAATATATGCACAAAACATTTATGGAACACTTGATGAATTATTACAAAATAAATACACTTGTGTAACCAAGAAATCGAATTAGACTTGTTCGTGCCCCTGACACTTTCTTTTTCTTCCCAAAGGTAACAAAGATCTTAAAAGCCAAGTGTAGATCAACTTGGTCTTTTTTTTTTTGGAGACGGAGTCTTGCTCTGTTGCCCAGGCTGGAGTCAGTGCAGTAGCGTGATCTCAGCTCACTGCAATTTCTGCCTCCTGGGTTCAAGAAATTCCCGTCTCAGCCTCCTGAGTAGCTGGGATTACAGGTGCCCACCACTACACCCTGGCTAATTTTTGTATTTTTAGTAGAGATGGGGTTTGACTATCGCCCCCACCTCAACCTCCCAAAGTGCTGGGTTTACAGGTGTGTGCCACCACACCCGGCCTGTACAAGTGTTTTATTACAGAATGTTAAAAAATACACAAAATACAAAAAAAAGTATAGCAGACCCATCACCCAGCTTCAATAGCTACTAGTCATGTGTCATTTTTGTTTCATTTATACTTTCAGCCATTCCCCTCGGTTTTATAAGATTTTAGGTATTTTGAATAAAATGTATATTCATTGCAACGTACAATCTGAACTGTACGTTTTTGACAAATGAATACACTCATATAAACTTTTCCCCTTTTAGGAATAAAATTACAACACTTAGCAATCATTAATGTGCATATAAGTTACCTCAAAGTATTATTTAAAATCTAGATTTGTATTTAATAGGTCTGAGTTTTAACTGAGAATTCATATTTCTAACAAAACACAAATCCATAGGGCACATGACAACTGCAATGTCTATTTACCTACAGTAAATACAATTTGATGAATAAAATTAAAGGCAATTGACCTAAGGCAAAAAAAAGAAAAAGCATTAGTGCTACGTGTTATCTGTAGGAGCATTTGGTTAATAATAACAAATTAAACAATTTTATTGTTTTAATGACCAAAATTGGTAAAATTTCTACTGTTTTTTTCATAGAAATGCTCTTTGCCAGAAAAAAATTTCATATAATGAGAGCAAAAATGGCAAACATTTGCAGGTAAATTTCTTATGAAATTAAGTAGCAGATATTTTTTCAAGCCCATGGCCTTCAGATTATTACCCAAAACTCAATCATTTACATAGAAAGTGCAAATAATTTTCGCAGCTTCCTATTAAAATTATATTTTAATGCCCTTTCAGATTATAACTGTTTTTAAATAAAGTTCATTATAATTTTGTATATGACATATGGTAAGTTCTCCTAAAGTCACCTTAAATTTACTTAATTGTATTAGGCAGTGTCTGTCTACCATCCAGTATTATTTGGGGATCCTCCCTCCATTTGCACAGGCATCATAGCTGGGGAAACGGATTCACAGAACACAGGCTGTTCCCTGCATATTTTTCCTCCTCAGATATCAGTTCATCTGTCAACCAACTGATGTGAGAGTTGAGGCCATGTGTTCCCTATTATTCCTGGGCACTCTTCTCAGAGGAAGAAAGGGTCAGGAAGTCCTGTTAGGGGATGCCTGCTAACAGGCTAATCTCCCTAAGCTGTGAGAGCTCTAATCATCAGGTGCAGACTTTTCAGGAGAGAGAAATGAGGCAGGCATTCTGAACCTGAAGCTTCATCACATTTTGTTCATCTCAAGACAGTTTTGACAGGCTGTTTTGGAACATGTCTGGAAGGTGAACTCTGAAGAAGAGTGTGTACTTTGATGTGACTCAGATGAGGTCTTTCATGGGGATCAGGAATTCAATGCCTAGTATCTGAGCTGGTGTCTTTGAGGTCAGTAGGTTGCCTCTTTGTATCAAGTCCATTGTTACCAGGCAGTAGGCTGGAGATTCTGAATGGCTTCCAGAACCCCTCTCTGATTCTCTTTGGGAGATGGGGTCTGAAAAAGACAAAGTCAGTATTTTTGGGAAATTCTAGAAAGTCTGGTTGGAAACCTGGGAAGACCTCTTGCCTAATGCCTAAATGCTCAATTTTCAGCGCTAGCCATATAGATGCTTGGTAGGCATAGAGCTGGGTTTGCATTTATATCAGCACAACGTATGTCAGAGTTGAAGAACAGCCAGGACAAAGTGTCTTGGTCACAGGCTGGGGAACATCTTAAAAGCAAGCTTCTAGCCTGCTGATTTTCATCTTGGCAGTGAGTGTTGGGTCCTGGCCAAAGTGCTTGAATGCAGCATGAGTCCAATCCATAAATACACCTTCGAATGGAGAAATGTTTGTGTCTTTTCAGTTTGATGCAATCAAGGTGCAATTACCATGCTATTGGTTTGTTTACTTTTTATTATTTAATATCAAATCTAAGACACAATACATTAAATGCTTATTGATATGTGTATTTGTTCTTCACCAGCCTCATAGTATCTGCCTAATTTTAATCCTTCTTCCATTTTGTAGGTTTCAACTTATTTTATTGTAGAATATTAAATCTAATACAGACATTGTCATTTTTACATATAATTTTCTTTAAAATATTTTCTATTGGCATTTTACCTTAAATTTTGGACTATTTTATCATATAAATAGCTTCATTTCTATTTAGAAGATAAAAGTATTTGGGTTTCTTGTCTTGTTTTTTTTTATATTACTTAGTAATGAGATAGCCATTAATGTTTTCAGGTATTTTAAATTTTAGATAATTACTCATTATATCCATGTGAAGTTTGTTTTTACTGCATGTGTGGGTTGGAGAGCTGTTTTCACTTCTGCTTCATCTTTACTCTGATCTCCCCAGAACTCATAGCTCTCGTAGTTTGGGAAATAGCAGGTTACCATTCCAATAAATGGGACAAATACAATAATAACACAATACAAATGAGTTTGAAAGCAGGACATGTCTTCAAAGCATAAACGACATGAGCCTACATATGTACAACAAAGTAATGTATAAGTTACAGTTTGGATGGAAAAGAAAAGCACAGAAAATTTGTTAAATTAAAATGGAGATCAGGTCTCAAGAATTTCTGAGCAGACAAAATCAGTTAGGTCTCATAAGTGATCTCAACCTTGCATGATTTGCAAATGTAAGCAAAACTTAAATTATTTCTTGTAGCTGCCTATTTAAAAAACAGAAATGAAGCTCAACTAATCAGGAGTAGCCAGCAACCTTATATAAATAGGAACTGTCCTACAAGTTTAAAAAAAAAAAAAAACCAACCAAACAAGAAACAATAAAACAATTTTGTACTACCAGCAATCAAATGATTTCTTTGTTTCTCCATTTTTCCATTGGATACTTGCTTCTTCATGTTCTATGATTTATCAATTGCTCTTACTCAAATAAACACTTCACAATTTCATTGTGTCTCAAATTACTTTTTAGAATAATAAATAAACTAGGAAAAAATATTACAAAAATGTGTACAGAATATGAGAAAACCATAGGAAGTTTATAAAATATATGAATGTAGACACAAGCAAATAGAAAATTTGTATCATATTCTTAGGCAAAAAAACTCAATATTATCAACATAAATTGTCCTTAAAGTATGTTATAAATTCGATTTTGTTTCAATACAGATACCATTAGATATTGGAAGTAGGCATGTTACTATTAGATATTGTATAGATGAAAACACAAATAAGAATAACCAAAAAACAAAAAAAAAAGCCTCACCAGCCCTGTGAAAAACCTTGATTGATTAAAAAAAACTCGTAGTTCACTGAAACTAAAAATTCAGAAATAGACCAAAGGGCCTAAGAAAGTGTCATGGTGCATCCAGGCTGCTGTAACAAAATATTTTAGACAGAGTAAAGAATTAACAACAGAAATATATTTTTCACAGTTCTGGAGGCTGAAAGTGCAAGGTCAAAGCAGCAGCAAATCTGGTGTTTGGTGAGAGCCCTGTTCCCCATAGCTGGTACATAACGCAAGGGACAAGGGCATTCCACATTCCCTTTAACCTCCTTTGAAAAGGCACTTATTCCATTTATGAAGATGAAGCACTCTTGGCTTAATCACTCCCTCAAAAGCCACATGCCTAATACTTTCCACATATGAATTTGAAAGGAGACCTAAACATTCAGGCCATAGCAATAATTTAGTACGGAATAGAAGCTACATGAAGAATGGCATCATTAATACTTGAGGTGTAAAAATGTGATGCTCTTATCACAAAAATGATTCATTTTTCATGGCATATAACAAAATAAAGGTCCAACGAAATTATATTTTTCATAAATATAAATATATATGGCAAAAAAATTAAGTGTTGATAAGGTTAATTCTACAGGTGGTATCAGGATTTTCTAGGTTTCTGGGAATGGGCAATGCCCCAGACTTTTCTCCTGTGACATTTTCCTGGAAGTTGCCAATGCTCTTATTCAATTTGAAATTAGATAAAAATGTTTGTTTCTATTTCAACATTTACTAAATTTAAAATAATGAAGGTCGATTTATGCATAATTCTCAAACAATTATTCATCAGTGGTGCTGTGCTGGGGAAGAGCACAGACTTTCACACCCACACATTTGTGATTTTTGGTCAAATAGATTTCTCCCTGTGCCAGAGTCATGTATGTTACACTTGATCAGAGACTTTCACAGGCAAGCATTGCTCTGCAGCCCTACCACAGACTTAACCCTGAAAATCTGACTCAGAAGGTGATGGATAAATACCCACCCTAGTGTTCTGATAAACATAGATCCTTTCTTAATAATCCGTTACAGGGATCTGGACTCTTTCCTGAATTCATCTAGCCACACACAGCTAGACTTGAAAATTTGGACAGAGTTTTGATTCTCACTGGGACTCCTGCCCTGTCCTGCCAGCTTCTCTAGAAGTACACTTTTCTAATTGCTCCTGAGAGATTCCATCTAAGGTTATCTCTCTGGGTCAACATCATTGATCTCATAAAGTGGGATGAGAAATAATTAAGAATCCAGCTATGCTAGGGGCTGTTTCTAGGATTCCTTACCTCACTTATGCTTCTGATTTACCTAAATATTTACAAATACAGATTCATCTCTAGGTGGTAGAAAAACAGGAGAAATCCCAGTTCATAGAGGAAGACCTAAGTGTTTCCAGATTGGCTCAAACTTAGTTTGACAGGAGTTCTGTGGCAAGCTCTTAGCTGACTCTAAAATCAGTGTGACCAGTAGTAGTGTCAGGATGGCTATGGGTCCAAAAGTCCAAAGAACATCTCTAGGTGGAGGCTAATCCTTTACTGAAGGCTTTAAAAGTCAAAATCAAGATTTCATTGGCCTCAGGATGAATTGTTCAATGCAAATCTTCCCAAATATTTTTTATTTTTTTAAATTTATTTATTTTTTGTTTTCTTATTTCTTTTCTTTCCCCAAATATTTTTACTAAACCTTAACTGGAAAGTAAGACTCTAGATTTTTTAACCCTTACAAAAAATAAATTTCTGATTTTTTCACCTGGGATCTATGTATACGTGTTGGAGCATGCCTTTACCAATCAGCATGAACTTACAACTCCCCTTGTGCTTCTACATTCTACTTGTGCAGAGTTTCAAATACAGAGGTGAGAGCTTAGGGTTTCCTGGTCTTTTGCTAAGCATGACTCTGAGCATCCCCATTTCCTTCTAGATCCCCATTTCCTTCTATTATTAGGAGTATTACCAGAGTCCTAATTTCCAGCAGCTTTTCCTCCTAGAGCTTTTCAGTATGATTATTTTTAGGACCAACTGATATCTTTGTTTCTGGTGGACTGGGTAGTTTGTTTCAATGTAAATGCTTTTACAAACATCTCAAGCTATTAATTTAAGTTTTCTCTTCTTTTTAAATGAAGTAATTCTGCTGTTAGCGTTCTTCAAAACTTGAGGGTTATAAAAAAAAGAAAGACAATAAATATTTTATACAAATAGTATAAAAAGAGACTGGGGATGACTATATTAATAGCAGACAAAATACATTAAAAAGTTACAAGAGAAAATAAGACATTATATACTCATAAAATGTTCATTTGGCAAGAAGATAGAAATATTTTAAACAATTACATACCTAATAACAAAACATTAAGATATAGAAAGGGTAAGTTGATAGAATTAAAGGGACAAATAGACAGTTCTAAAATAATAGTTGAAGATGTTAATACTCCACTCAGAGTAATGAATAGAATAACGAGATAGATGACAAATTAGAGAGCCTAACACAATAAACCAAACTGATTACAGATATATACAAGACACTCCAACAGCAAGAGAGTACACACTCTTCTCAAATGCATATGTGGAATTCTTCAGGATGGGTTGTATATTAGATCTAAAATTAAATCAGCAACAGAAGAAAAGCTAGGAAATTTGCAAACTTGTGTAAATTAAACAACATACTCTTAAACAACCAATAAGTAAAAGAAGAAATCACAAGGGAAGTAGGAAAATACTTACAGTAGAAGAAAAATGAAAACACAACATATCAAAAGTTATGGGAAACAGTAAAAAACAGTGCTAAGATAAAAATTCTGCAGCTAAAAAACATTTAAAAAATATGAAGATCTTAATAATAACTTTGTCACCTAGCAATTCAGAAAAATAATACCAAATTAGATGCAAAGCAAAGAGAAAAAAGTAAATAATAAAGATGTTAGCAGAGATAAATGAAATAGAGATTATGCAAACAACAGAATACCAAGAAACCAAAAGCTAGTTCTGAGTTCTTCAGAAAAAGAATTAACAATTGGCAAACCCTCAGCTATGCTAAAAAAATCAGAGTATTTACATACTAAAAAGAGAAATAAAAATGAGATATTAATATTAATTCTAAAGGATTAGAATGTTTTTTAAAGTGTACTATGAGTATGAGAGGACCATAAATTGGAAAATCTAGATTAAATGGGCAGATTTCTACATATATAAGACTTGATCACAAAGTAATACAAAATCTGAATATACCTACGACTATTAAGGAAATGGAATCAGTCATTAAAAACTCCTTGATGAAGAAAAGCCCTTGTTTTGTTGGCTTCACTAGTAAATTATATGAAGCATTTATAGAACAAAAATTCTTTCCAAACTCTACCAAAAAACTGAAAAGAACAGCTCCAAGCTTATTCCATGATGCCAGCATTACCTAATACCAAAGCCAAAGACACTATAGAAACCCACAACCAAGATCCCTTATGAACACATATGCAAAACTACTCAGCCAAATCCTAGCTAACCACATTCAGCAGCATACTAGCAAGATTACACCCCAATGACCAAAGAGAATTTATTATTGGAATGCAAGAAAGTTTTAGCATATGACTGGTTTCTGTGCAGTGGTATTTACAACAAATTGATTGCAACCAGTTACAGATTTCTTTATCACTTCTCCATTCCCACTGCTTCACTTAGCTGGCCTTTCTTAACAAAAGTTTTAGCATATGAAAATTAATCAATGTATATACCACATTAACAATTTTTTTTAAATCTCATTAACACAGAAAAAGTATTTTACAAAATTCAAAATATTTTTATAATAAATTAGGTATTTATTGTGTTAAAAAGAAATAAAAGGAAACCATCTTTGTAAAATTCACATATAAAAACCCACAGCAAACAACATATTCCAGAGGAAAAGACCGAAAGCCTTTTTTCTAAGCTCAGAGGGAAAGCAAGAATGTCTGCTCTTGCCACTTTTATTCAACACAGTATTAGAAGTTCCAGTCAGAAAAATTAAAAAAGAGAAATAAATAAACTGCATCAAAATATGTACAGAAAATATATCCTTATATGTAGAAAATTTTAAAAATTCCACACAAAAACTACTACAACTAACAAACTTGGCAGAGTAGTAGCATACAAAATCAACATAGAAAAATAAATTGTATTTTTATACAGTAATATAAATAATCTGAGAAGAAAACTATAAAAATAACTTAATTAGCAATAGCATAAAAATAATAAAGTACTTAGAAAGTAACCAAAAAGTAAAATTCCAATGACTTAGCGTAGACATTAAAAATAAATCCATTTTTAAGTTTATGTGGAATCTCAAGGGACCCTAAATTGCAAAAATAATTTTGAAAAAATAATACCAAAGTTAGAGAAGTCACACTTACTGATTTCAGAACTATAAAATTCTAAAATAGTATACTACAAATAGGCTAATGGAATAACATGGAAAGCCAATATAAATAAACCCTCATATATATGGTCAAATGATTTTTATGGGAAAAGAACTGTCTTTACAACAATTTGTGATGGGGAATTTGGGTACCCACATGTAAAAGAATGAAGCTGGACCCTAAGAAAAAATTAACTGAATGGATTGGAGACCTAAACATAAGAGCTAATACTACAAAATTCTTAGAATACAATATAGATAAAACATGTTACAACATTGGATTTGGCA